GCCTTCGCAGCTTGTCGGCGTTGCCCTGCTGGTGTAGCCACAGCTTCCCCGCCGATTTGTCGCGGACGATCTCCAACCCGAGGTACTTTTGCACCAGAGAGATCTCACGGAGCTCGAAGGCGGCCTCCAGCAGCTCCTTCAGCATCGCAGGGCTACTGTTAGCGGCGAGCAGGTTGTCGACGTAGACCAGCACCCAGCAGGCCACTCCGTCGTTGCCGACCTTGAAGTACAGAGCCTCGTCGACCTGGCTCTTCTTCCATCCGACGCCGACCAGAAGTCGCTGAGCGCCAAGTACCACAACAGAGGTGGCTGCTTCAGCCCATACAGGCTCTTCAGCAGCTTGCACACTCGGCCGGTTCCATCATTGAAGTAGTCCGTCTGGGACATGTACAGCACCCGGTCGAGCTTGCTCTACAGAAAGTCGTTCTTCATGTCGAGCTGCATCAGGTTGAGGTTGAGGACGGTGACGATGCTGAGGAAGATCCTCAGCGTGATGTAGCTGCCCACCGGCGCAAACGTCTCGTCATAGTCGGTGCCATACACCTTGGTGAAGCCCTTCACGACCAGCCTCGCCTTCTCCCGTTCGACGGTGTCGTTGATGTGGTACTTCGTCGTCAGCACCCACCGGTTCTTCATGATGTTCACCCCCGGCGGGCGTTTGACCAGCTCCCAAGAGCCCATGTTGATGAGGCTGCGGATCTCCTCCTCCATGGCGGCCTTCACCGCCGGGCCCTTCCAGCTCGCCAACGCCTTCTTCACTGTCATCGTTAAGATGTCCGAACGGTGCTCGGGGTCGGCATGTCGTGCGCCTTGGACGCGCGACGGGTTCTGCCTGCCAGCGCGCCCTGCTGTCGCCCGCGCACCTCCTACCCCGCCCCCCCGCCCACCCCCCCCCACACTTCCCCTTCATCTCCATGCTGCGCGTGCAGCAGTGGGGGGGAGGGTATGGGGGGGGCCTCTCTCCCACTGCTGCAGCTACTGCTGAGGGGGGGAGGGTGTGGGGGAAGCCGAGGGAGTGTGGGGGGAGCTGGGGGTGGCGGGTATGAGTAAGCTGCCCCTCCTCCTTCTCTCTCTCCCATTGCTGCAGCTGCTGCTGAGGGGGGGAGGGTGTGGGGGGAGCTAAGGGAGTGTGGGGGAGCCGAGGGAGTGGCGCTAGTGTTGTAGAAGGGGGCGTGGGGCAATGGGGGAAGTTGAACGGAGGTAGCCGTCGTGTCGCCAGCAGCGTCAGTAGTCCGGGGCCCTCGTGCTCTCGGTAGCCCAGCGAGCCTTGCTGTGCCAGTCGCCTGTGGGTCCGTTGCTCCTGCCGCTTGTCGTAGCCGCGGAGCCAGATACTCCCGTATTCCGGTGCCCTCGTGCGCTCAGTAGCCACTGTGCCAGTCCTCCTGTTGCCCGTCTGTCTGCAACTTCAGCCGGCACCTCGTATCTCCTCTCCTCTCACAGTTCTTCCCCCTCCTCCTCACTTCGCCTCTTCTTCTGCTGCGCCCTGCAGGGTGTACCGCTTCAGGGGGTGTTCTGCACATGGCTATTCCTGCATGCACTTAGGGGGTGTGTCAGAATATATTTGATATATGTTCTGTATAAGCACATGTAGTTCTAGATGTAGTGTAGTCCCATTATTGTCCTGTGTGGTGGTGCACCACTCCTTGCATGCTTCTCCTCTATTTGTACTTGTCATTCTATAGTTGAACCACTCCTTTTGCCTTGACTTCTACTTTGCCTAAGCCAAAACCCTAGCTCCTACTGCTAACTGTGCATCCTAAGCCTAAACCTAGTTGCCTAGGTGCTTAGTATCTTGACAGAAAATTGGCAAGAGTTTCACTAGGAAAACATGATAACAAATAGTTCTAACAACATTTGGCATGCAAGACTACATCAGACCTAGCAAAGCTGCTGGTCGACTTCCAGCGCAGCACGGTCGACTGCGTGCCAGCACGACTGGGTCGAGCGCGCTCCAGCAGAGCAAAGTCGCGGCTTGCCAACGTTGCAGGTCCACGATGTGCCAACGCTGCAGCAAATCGACTGCACAGCGTTGCACCCGCGGGACAACGGTGCACCTGCTTCGCAGATGCGCGCAGCTGGTTGGTGCGCTCTTCCTTGTCACGTGCACGGCGCAGACGCCTAGGTCGACTCCACGCCAGCGATTGCGCCCACCAGCCACGTCGACCTCGGGATACCATCCCCGAGGTCGGCCTCGCAAACTCCACCCTGGCAACACTCGCGCACGTCGCCCGAGTTTCCCGGTCGACCAGGCAACCAGGTTGACGCCGTCAGGTCGACGTCCTCCCTGGTCGGCGTCTCCTCGTCGACCACTTCGGGGCCCGGCCGCAGACTTCGCCAAGTCGTCAGCCAACCAAGGTCGGCGCCCTATTGCTTGACACCCAGCTGCTCGGCGTCACCAGCCTCCCCTGTCGAGGTCGACATCGGCCCCTCCTTTGTCGACCGCATCGTCCTGGTCGACCATCAGATCGACTTCACTTCTGGTCGACCAGCTCCACGTCGACCAGCACAGCTGCTAGCCAACCACCAGGTCGGCTTCTCCGGATCGGAGTCATCAAGTCAACGCCCTTCGCAGGTCGACTTCCCAGGTCGACCTCCCCGACGTCGGTGCCACTCTGAAGTCGGCGCCCGTGCAGTGGCCCCCGTGCAGGTCAACCCCCTCGTCAACCAGCTCGCCCAGTGCTGCATGTTGGCTGCTCCCCTCACACCCGACCACGAAGTCGGCTCCGCCCTAGCGAGGACGGGGCCAAACCCAACTCCCGTTGACACGAAGCACTTGGGCCGTCGAAAGAAGAAATGTCAAAGCTACGAGTCATGACTTCCTCAACAATTATACTCAACCTACATGCTCCAGGTCCAGCCTACGAGAGGCTACAGTCCATCCTTCGTCGAAGGGGGCCACTATCGACCCAACAACAAAGCCACACATCTAACACATTTTCCCCTCTAGCACAATCTCATTAAGAAACTACCCGTTGAAGAAAAAAGGAAGCATTCGTACCATAAAACCAAAAAGCAGTGTACACAAAGTAAAGTGCAAAATCTCCACAATGGCGCAAGCAGGTGTTGGGGATTTGGAACATGTGTAGGCAAAGGCTTCGGAGGTGACACCGATAGAGGCTGGGAAGGTAATACCACTGAAGGTGGGGCATATCCGGCAATGAAATGGGCCCACTCTATGAGGGCTGGAGGAGAGATGCTCCTTCTCAATATCACATCTATGGTACCTGAGAACAAATGCTATCGAGGAGAAAAACGGCATGGAAGCACCAAAGAACCACAACCTCTTATTGTTTCACTCGATTGCCCTCCATGTCATTCAACACCATCGTTGATGGCTCTTAATCATCACCGCTCCACCGAACCAACTGAAAACGATCCGGAATACTTCTCCACCCATTACAATAATGATCTGCCACATCCTAAGGTCATCCAAGGTCCGGGCGTGCTGCTACCTCACCTGGAACCGGTGCCTAAAGGACCAAACATCGTTAAAATCACGGAAATTCATTTCAATGTCACCATCAACCCCAAATTTATTACTCTCGTGCTCTTGATAACAATGGAGAATTATGCACGCACTACCTCCATGCTCTAGGCGTACGCACCACAAATATAGCACTTCACTTCTAAATTATACATCTTTGCATTTTGTACCATTATTTATCTACATGTTAGCGGCATGAGCACCGTTCTCTTCGCAACTGCCTAGTCCTGTTGGCATGGATGCTGAAAAACGTGAAGGCCTACTGCAATCGACGGTGCTACATTGTCCGACGACCTCAGTGGATAAGCTGTTCCCACAACCACGTCATAATCCCCCATCCAGCTGGCACACTTGGAATCCCGCCAAAACCTTGAATATATGCATTTTACGCGCCAAATTTTGAGCATTTGAATTGTTGAACTTCCGGGTCTGGTTGAGGTTGTGGGGGCACATCTGATGATGATGGTTGCGGGCAGCAATGCCAGGTATGGAAGTTGGTGGCGGGTGAACAAGCAAAACCCCAAAAGTCGGGCTGCAAGATTTCTTTCATGTGGCAGGTGACGGTACCCTGGGTCAAGAAGCTGCCCAAAAATGCAGTAATCGCCTCAAAAACGGGGTCATGCAGCATCCATCACCATGACCATCATCCACCATCACCATCATTCCACATCACAACCTGCCCGCGCATCGTTCTCAAACCTTACATTGCCTTGCCGTTGGGTTCATCATCATCAACATTGCGATTCCTCCTCGCAGTCCTCGTTGACCATCATCCCATCCCATGCCAAACCTAGCCCATCCCACCCCAATTACCCTACTCAATCCCATTCCATCTTACCGTATCCCATCTCATCATATTCCACCTGATCACATACCATACCATCCTATCCATCCCATCACCTCGTTGACATTTTTTTCTCTTGTTTTCGTGGGTCTGCCAGCCCCATCCCGTCATCACCATCCGAGTCCTCCTCACTGCTTTTGCCTGCTGAGCTGCTGGGCCGCTGGGCTTCCTTCCATCCCAACCTCGTGGAAGCAGGAGCTCAGCCGAGAAGTCGTCATCACTCGGAATTGGGGTTTCTTACTGCAGTGCCATGCCTGCGGGTCTCCTGCCTCTGCCCCCTCGCCTCCCTGCTTCCGTCCATCCCCAGCACTGACTGACCTCACTGCCCTGCCCGCACCTGACCCTGTCACCGTCCATCACCGTGCTAATCAAGCCAACCTCCCTCCCCTCCCACTTCTCCGTTCTCCTCATTTCTGGCGATTTTTTTCGCGCTCAAGTTAGTTCTCTGCGAGTTCTTTCCGTAGTAGCTAGATCTCTCACATCGTAGTCAGTCAGATTAACCACGTCTGTAATTACGTTGAATTCGTCCGGTATATCGTCGATTTTTGCTGCTTTCTCTCTAGACATCATCTTTATAGGAAGCCATGTCGCAGCTGGTCGAAGCGACCACGCGCTGCTGCTGCTTCCACCGATGCGGTCGCACGGGTCGCATTGTTTCTGTCGCCGCGGCCGATGCGCATAACAGGGAGCAGCTGCACCTGCGCGCCTTGCAACTGGATGACCGGAAGGAAGGCGAGCGACGGGTTGCGCTCATGCGACAGCAGCAGCAGGTTCAAGGCGACATGGAGAAATTCGGACCCACAGTCGGCACGGCAACCGGACCTCCTGGTAGCGCTGGCAAATCCAAATCACGCGGCTCTTCAGGCCCGCGTTTCGCGTGCCGTTGCTCCCAGTGCACTTCCCGCTATGGCAGCACCGGCCGCTTGCTATGCGAGACCGCCTGGCGCGACCACTGGAAGCGGCGAGCGGCGGAAATAGTTCTTCAGCAGGAGGTAGTGGAAGCAGCGCCGGTCGCGGAGGTTTCGGATCGCGAGTCGGGGGTCCAGGGATGCGGCGGCCGGTCTAAGGGAGCCGTCGCCGGCTCGTTTCTGGCGGCTGAAGGGGAAGAGGCCGACAGCGGCGGCCCGTTACCTGGGACGAGCTGCGACTACTGGGGTTCGGAAGCTAGAGTGGTTCGTTCCGACAGTGGCGCTGCTGTCGCGCATCAATATCATCAACATCGGCACCAACAACTGCGTCAACAACAGCACCAACCGCACCAACAATCGCACCTCGAGGCGCACCAACAACCACGCCAACCTCACCACGAACCGCACCAACAACAGCACCATCAACGAGCGGCTGTCCCCGGCGTGGAGCCTAACGCCGTCTGGACTCCGCCCAGTCATACTCGCGAGTTCCCCTGGCTGTCGTCGTCGCCCAAGGCTCCGCCCGCCGCGGTGGATTCGCCGTCCGCGCGGTGGGAGGGCGGGGTTGGCGCGGAGGAGCGCGTGGGGTACGGCGCGTGGCGGAAGCGGGGGACGGAGGCGGTGGCGGTAAGAAGCGGAGACGCGCTACCCGGGGAGCACTTCGAGGCGCGCAGGCTTCAATTCTCCGACGATGCGGCAGCGGCGGCTCCGGCGGCCGGTCTGCTGGGAGATCTCGAGGCTTCTAAGGACGGCTCGCCTACTAAGAGGGCGAGGGCTGGTCTAACCAGACCACTAGCCGCCGCCACGACTGGTGAAGCAGCCGCGGCGGCGGCGGCTGTAGCGGCGGCGGCGGCGGCGGTGTACAGAGGTTATCAGGCCCCGAGCTGCCACGTGGCGGACAAGCTACAGCAGCTGCGGTGTTTTGACAATCGCGCACAAGCTCGTCAGGGAACTGTGGCGCTTGATGCGGTTGAAGCCATGCTCGTTCATGCTCGCGCCGCGCTCGGTGCGGCGGCTGCGACGGGTGGCGTTGCAGGGACGAATAACGCCAACTCGCTTCAAGGCGGCATGCCGGGTACGCCTCGTGCCGGCCGGCCGTTGCCGTCTGTGGACGCAGACGAATGCTTCGCCGGCCGTCTGGACGACGCGTTTCAGCGGCAGCAGCACCAGCAGACAGCCGCAGCGCTTTCGCATGGTATGCTGAGACTCCTTTTTGACGACGGGTCGCTGGCCGCTTCTGCTGCTGTCAACGCCAGAGCCATGGCCGCCGCGGCTGCCGCTGCTGCGACTGCGGCTGGGGGAGGGTTGGGTCAGGTGATGGTGGGGGGAATGGGTCCCGCTTCTCCTGCTCTTAGTGAGTCAGGGCGCGGGGATTACCGTGCCACGCGGGCAGGCCTTTTCGGTAACCCCTATGGTGGTTACATTCAGTAAGGCATGTATTGTATAGCGAAAGCATGCTATTTGAAGCATGCTAGCTGATTCATGCATGCATTGGGTGATACCTACCGTTGTTGTGCAGGGTTCCGGTTTCCCTTATGTAACCTGTCTCCAGATGGTTTGTAGTTTCCAGATCTGAGTGTAGACCTGTGTTGTGGCTTCTCTGTTGTGTTGCACATGGCAAACCAGTTCTCCAGCTCTTAGGGCGTGTGTGAATCTAACTGCAGTTAGAAAATGGGATCTAACCTATGGTAGTGTGGTAACCAATTATGATAATTTTTAAGCACATGAAGTGTTTTTCAAAATTACGTATTTCAAGAGCGCAGCTGCCTGTAACGCATATTTGGCATCGTCGAAGCGCGCTAAATGCCCTTCTCCAACTACAAAACGTGGGTTGGAGCTCATTTCCCTCCACCCACGCCTCTCATTTTCCAACGGCTCATGCAACTCTCAGTTCCTCGAGCTCATTTCTACGGTAGTTTTCCGTTCAAGCTGGCTAGAACTCGCTCTCTACTGAGAGGCGTTTCACCTTCAACTTAATTAGCTGACATTCTCAACCACAACCGCTCGACTATGGTTGCTACGCCGACACTTAACCGCGCGAACAACACCGTCGTCAACGACTCGAATATTTCCGACACCGATCGTAACGCCCGGGAAATGCCGGGCGAGCGCCGCAACAAGCGCCGGGCAGACGGCGAAACGTCCGCCCCAACAGCTGTCGACGTGCTGCTGGGCGGGCTTGAGGTCAACAAAAACGCCGAGCGGCACTAGCAGCACCCTTCGGCGCCTGTGGCGCCTGTTGCGCCAGTGGCACCCGTGGGCCGTGGCACCAATGGCGAACGTGGCGCCACACGCGACTGACGCGGAGCACGCGCCTGAGGCACACGCGCCCCACAGGCAGTCGCGTCAGCGCCAGAGGCGCCGTACGGCCGCCTCGTCTGGCGCGACCGTTGACCCGGACTTGACACAGGCGTTGACGCCGGACCAAGTCAAGGCGCTCCTGTCTCTGTTACAGCATTGACCCGCCAGCGCAATTGAAGCCGAAACTACACAACCGGCGGCATCAATTTCGGCTAAAAACGAAAATTCGAAAAAGAAGGGAGTGAAAGGAGCATCAACACGCCGCCACAACAAGGAGGTAGCTACCAGCGTTCCCGAAGCCGCAGCCGACGACCACGACTCCGACGACTCTGACGACGATGCTGGTGAGGCTCCGAACAACGCAGCAAATGTCACATCCATGGAAAATCTCCCCCCCCTCCCTTCCACCACCCCCACCTTTTTCGGCGGCAAACTTCATGAAGGCGTTCGTGCGCGCGAAGGCGGAGCCCCTGGAGGACGTGAGGGCCTACTTGAAACACGCGGAGTACAAGCTGCAGCACGACGACACAGCGGGCGGACTCGAAATGGTCATGAACGCCCTCGACTACATTTCGGAGCGTTTTGTGATGTTTCAAGTCGAGGACCACACCGACGACCGCGTGGCAAAGCGATTCAAGCTCTACCAACAAAAGAGTCTCCTGACTTCCCGCCCGTTCAAGCAGGCGGTAGCTGATGTGGCGGCTATGGATCGCGCCGAGGGCGCGTACGCTCGTTCCCACCGCGTTGGAGGGCTAGCGCGGGCCGACAGGGCCTGAGAGGGGCTAGCGCGGAGCCGACGGGGCCTGAAGCGGGGCTAGCGCGGGCCGACGGGGCCTGAGAGGGGCTAGCGCGGGGCCGACGGGACCTAAGACGGGGCTAGCGCGGGCCGACGGGGCCTGATAGGGGCTAGCGCGGGGCCGACGGGGCCTGAAACGGGGCCGACGGGGCCTGAATCGGGGCTAGTGCGGGCCGACGGGGCCTGAGAGAGGCTAGCGCGGGGCCGGTGGGGCTTGAACGGGGCTAGCGCCGGGCCTGAACGGGGCCTTAAAGGGGCCGACGGGGCCTGAGCGGTACCGCTAGGGAGAGCGGGCGTGGGGCCAACGGGGCCTGAACGGGGCTAGCGCGGGGCCGTCAAGAGGGGCCTCTAGGGGCGTGACACGTCGAGGCGCCCTAGGGCACTGGTAGGTAGGTAGGTAGGTAGGTAGTTACGTAGTGGTGGGCCCTTAGAAAATTTCGGTCCTAGGAAGGACCTGCTCTATACCATGTTGGAATAACTTAACAGGAATGAATGAACTAGCAGTGAAATGAGTACAAGTACCTAACCCTAGAATTGTGTACCCCCTATAGGCTAACCCACTGTAGCCTAAACTAACACAACATATATAATGTTTGACAGCTCGTACGTCCATGATGCATGCGGCTGCCCCCCATTTTCTGTGGCCGTTTGTGGTGAGGTACGCGGCGCATCATATCAACCTTCACCCCAGGGTCTCCAGGCCGGAGACCTCCCCAGCCCTGCTGTGGACGGGGAAGGTTGGCGATGCGTCGGCGTTCCGGGTCTGGAAATCTCGGGCGTTTGTCCGCGACTTGTCTGCGGACAAGCTGTCCCCTCGCGCTGCTCCTTGCGTCTTCCTGGGGTTCCCCCCCGACGCGCCTGGGTGGCAGTTCTACCACCCCACCTCTCGTCGTGTTCTGTCCTCCCAGGACGTCACCTTCGACGAGTCAGTCCCCTACTACCACCTCTTCCCCTACAGCACTCCGTCCCTCCCCCCGCCCCCGCTCTTCCTTGTACCAGGTCCCCCCCCGGTAGACCCCCTCCCCCCTCAGGGTCCTGCCCCTTCAGGTGTGTCCCAGGTAGACGCGGTCGAGCCTGTCGAGGTTACTGGTGACTCTGGTGCTGCTGAGGATGCTGAGCCTGGGGGTGCTGAGCGTGTGGGTGCTACTCCTGGGGGTGCTGAGCCTAGGGGTGCTGAGCCTGGGGGTGCTGAGCTTGGGGGTGTTGTGCTTGGGGGTGCTGAGCCTGGGGGTGCTGTGCCTGGGAGTGGTACGTCTGGGGGTGCTGAGCTTGGAGGTGCTACGCTTGGAGGTGTGGAGACTGAGGGAGCTGGCCCTGTTCGTGTGGCGTCTGGTGGTGCTGGACCTGGAGGTTCTCCGGGTGCTGCGTCTCGGCGGGAGCCACTCTCTCCACAGGAGCTGCGCGAGTGGTTTGCCCGGCGCCGGAGCCGTGCTGCTGGAGCTGGAGGTTCTTCGGCTACTGAAGGTGCTGGTGTCGCGGGTCCCGGAGGTGCTCCTGCTGGGGGTACTGGTGCTGTTGGGCCTGCGGGCTCGACTGGAGCTGGTGCTGCTTAGGGTGTTGGCGCTGAGACTACTGCTGGCGGTCCTGCTGGGGGTGCTATTGGTGCTGCTGGAGGTCCTGGAGCTACTGGAGCTGCTGTGGGTACTGGAGCTGGAGTTGCTGGTGGAGCTGGTGCTCCTGCTGGGGGTACTGGTGCTGTCCCTGCTGTATCTGGAGTCGCCGCACGGCCTCGACCGTACTTCGTTCCGCTCTTGCAGCAGGTTCTTGGTCTTCCGCCTTCTACTGGTCCTCCTCCTCCCTTAGAGTGTCCACAGCCTGAACAGTCGCGGTCACAGTTACAGCCCGCCTTCCCCCTACCTGCTCCTCCTCCCTACACTGGTCCTACTGGAGGTCTTGCTGAGCGTTGTGAGCCTGCGCCTCGCCCTGCGTCGCCTGTCCGTGCTGCTCGCGCTAGTGGTCGTGGTTCGCGTCCGCGTCCTCCTCCTGTCCCTGGCACGCACAGGATGTCTCTGCGTCCGTCCGCTGCTCGTCTGCATGCCCCTTTGCCTTCTCCTCCTGAGTCCTCTCTTCCTGCTCTTGCCGACCCGGAGTCGGACTCTCTTCGTGCTGCCAGTCCTACTGTCACGCGTCTCCTGGCTACTATTGTCACTGACCCTTCTTTTGAGTCCACTGCTGCGTCTGCCCTAGTTGCTAAGCTCCTCGACTTTGCTGCTCGCTGTCGCCTAGACTACGCTGGTAGTCTTGTCGCTGAGTCTGAGTCTGTCTGTCCTCCGTCCGTCGGGGGTAAGTGTGCCCTTGGCACGGACGTCCTTGAGGACAGGCAGGAGGAGTTCCAGTGTCTGGCTGCTGCTTCACCTCATCTCGTGTCCGTACTGCTTACCCCTGAGGGAGACCCGGATGCAATTGACATCCCGACTCCGCGCTCTTACGCGGAGGCGATAGAGGGTCCCTACTCTTCTTAGTGGCAGGCAGCTATGGACACAGAGATGACTTTCTGGAAGTCCACAGGCACCTACGTTGACGAGGTTCCCCCGCCTGGGGCGAACATCGTCAGTGGCATGTGGATCTTCAGGGTGAAGTGGCCACCGGGTTCTCCGCCTGTCTTCAAGGCACGTTATGTGGCTCGTGACTTCAGTCAGTGGCAGGGAGTTGACTACTTTCAGACCTTCTCTCCCACCCTGAAGATGACCACTCTTCGGGTACTGCTGCACGTTGCTGCTCACCGTGACTACGAGCTGCACTCTCTTGACTTCAGCACTGCTTTCTTGCAGGGCAGCCTGCACGAGGAGATCTGGCTGCGCCGCCCACCTGGCTTCACTGGGTCGTTCCCTCCTGGTACCCAATGGAGTCTCCGGCGTCCAGTCTACGGTCTCCGCCAGGCGCCCCGTGAGTGGCACGACACACTGAGGACTACGCTTGCGGCTCTTGGGTTTGTTTCTTCTACTACCGGCCCGTCGCTGTTTCTGCGCACCGACACCTCTCTGCCGCCGTTCTACATCCTCGTGTACGTCGACGACCTGGTCTTTGCCACAGCTGACACTGCTGGACTCGCCTACGTGAAGTCCGAGCTGCAGAAGAGACACACGTGCACAGACCTGGGTGAACTGCGCAGCTATCTTGGCTTGCAGATCACCCGGGACAGACCACGCCGCACCATTACCCTGACTCAGTCACACATGGTGCAGCAGGTCCTTCAGCACTTCGGCTTTACGTACTCCTCGCCTCAGGCCACTCCTCTGCCTGCTCGCCACTCACTCTCAGCTCTGCCTTCGGATGAGTCCGTAGAGTCGAGTGGCCCGTATGCAGAGCTTGTTGGCTGCCTCATGTACCTGAT